CTGAAATATAATTAATACTTTACACATAAGTGTAAATATACATATGTCTGTCTGTCTGTCCTGTGATGGACTAGCGACCTGTCCAGGGTGTTTCCTATCTTCCACCTAATGACCGCTGGGATAGGCTTCAGCTCCCACCGTGACCCAGAAGGATGAAGAAGCTTAAAGAGTGTGCATGTGTGTGTAAATACACACACTTGTAAACATAAACACAACATTTAGCCTGGGGGGGCAGTCGTGGGCTGGAGGTTAGGGAACCAGCCCTGCGACCTGAAGGTCGCCGGTTCGATCCCCTCAGCTGACAGTCCATGACTGAAGTGCCCTTGAGCAATGCACCTAACCCCCAATTGCTCCCCGGGTGCCGTAGACAGTGCTGCCCACTGCTCCGGGCAAGTGTGCTCACTGCCCCCTAGTGTGTGTGTTCACTAGTGTGCATGGATGGGTTAAATGCGGAGGTCTAATTCCACAGTGTGCAACACAGTTGGCTGATGGTTCTGAATTAATTATTTTAGCCTTCAGAATCTCTCACTGACCATTTTTTGCCAGAAAAACTAATTGGGTTACTTTGTCAGGCTTGTGCAAGTTGGGAGCTGGGCTAACAATGCTGCCTGCTGTGCTGAATAACCGCTTTGATGGTGCACTCGTGGCACAAGCGCACAGCTGTTTTCTGGCCAAAATTCGACATCATTGAGAAGCGGGTTTCATTGGTTTTCCATCAAATAAGCTGGTCTTCATCTCTGTGGATTATAGGCTCACTACAATAAGCAGAAAGCTTAGATGCTGCTTGACTCCTGCAGATGTTTTGAGTCCACTGGCTGCTGCTGTTTTCTGTAGGAGGGCTGGCCAAAGTTACTTTTTTTTGGACGGTCCAGACTGTCTATTTCCCTCCTGTCCTTTCTCTTCCTGCTCTTCCACTGGTTCCCATCACATCTCCAAGATTTCTCCCTCTAACCAAGTCTTCAGCCAAGGAAGCATCGCCCGTTTCATATCCACCACCGTATCGAGGGTCGAGAAAGGTACACCTGAGCGGCGAGTTTTGGACGTTGTCATTTTTATATTTGGCCTCCCATGATCCCAGCTTTTATGGCTTCATTAGCAGCACGTCGCCGTCTGCGGAAGCCAGCATGTCTTCATTGCACAGCATAAGTATGGGGAGTACAGATGAGCTGGACACACAATATTCTCCAGACAAAATATCAGTAAATGCACTAACTGGCTTCAGTGCAGCACTGATAGCCTGTAGAACCTCTGTGTCTTGCCATCTCAGGGAGATACTGCTTCGTCTTTCGTCAGATAGAACGTGATGGATAGCTTGTGACTGTTCAAGGATCCACTCAATCATCACCTGCTTGGAGCCCCAACCTGTAGCACAGTACTGTCAAATTTATAATAAAATGATCTCTTGGTATTCATAATAATAAATTACGGCCTGAAAACGAGTCTTATAACAATTATTAAAAATAAGCTAGGCCATTGCACTAGGATACAATGGATTTATAAAACATTTTACATAAAAAAGTAAAAATAGGCTCAAAAATATTGTTTGTGTTAATTCATTAATTAATTTATCATTTAATTTGTTTCATTTTAACTGGCGTAGTACTAGTTTATCTTGCATTATATTATTTTTTGTTCATTTTTGCGATTTAAAAATCATATTTCATATTCATAATTTGTCATTTTACTTTGTCTTATTTATTATTCTGATTTAAAATTGTATTTTTATGTCATGTCTTAATCAATTATTTTAAGATTTTGTTTTTATTAATTGGTTTAATTTGACTTTTCATTTATTTAGAATGTCTGATTTGTTTTATTTGCTTATGTGCTTATTAATTCTGTATTTCCCTGTTTTTAAAATCTTTCTTCTATGTTACAGTTTATGTAAAGTGTTCTAACATAAATCGCTATCTAGCTATGCTAGTATTCCTTTTCAACCACACTGTACTTCCTACTTCAGAGATTAAATTAAGTTTGATTGATTGACCAACTGATTAGAAACAGTAGACTTGTAAAAAGTGCATTTTTTTCTATGTAGGCCTAGATGAACTACAGCAGTATGGAATGGGTCTGCACAGAATGAACTGTTACGCCTATCAGGCTGCGCTGAGGAAGTCCACTTGCTTCTTTTTCAGTTCTCTCTTTCTGTGCCAGCCGTGGCAGAAGGCCGCAGTGATGTTACGGCAAACTCCAAGAGCACGATCTGTTCATTGCTTTTGATCTTTCAGTCCGCTGGAAACGGCCAAGTTGAGATTATGTCTGAAACACCACAGCCCGTGCAGAAGCTTGATAGTGGCTACAATGTAAGCTCTGTTGTCGGTAGTTATGGCTGTAAGTTTTTTCTCATCCAGTTTCCATTCTCAGAGCACATCACCCAGCGCATCAGCGATGCTGGTCGCTGTGTGACTTTCCGGGAAAAAGGTTATTTCAAGACATTTAGACTGTAAGACAGTCGGGTATGATGAAGTGGGCTGTCAAGGACATGTATGGTGTCATATTCACTGAGGACCACATGTCTCTTGTCAATGAAAAGCTGTGTGCCTTCGATAGCAACACTTGTACCTCTTGCTGAACTCGATTGCCGAAGTCTGGAATTGCTGCTTGAGAAAAGTATTTCCTTCCAGACAACTCATACTGGCAATCAAGTGTTTGGATCATGGCTTTAAATGATGTTTTTTCCACGGTGTGGAATGATACCATTTCTTTAGCAAGATATTTGGTCACCGCTGATGTACACGCCTTCCATCGTGCACTGTCTTTTTTTGTATTTTGTGGATTTGACGAAAGTTTGTTGTGATGGTGGGTCGGGTCTTTTCCAGCGGAGGCTGCATGGCTCTTTGAGGTCGGCGATGTCTGTGCCGCGATTGAAGGATGCTTAGTTTTTAGATGAGAATGCATGTTCAACATGTTTCCATCTTTGGCTGAGACTGTTATTAGGTAGATTTTACATACTGGTTCATCAAGGTTCATTTGGAATGAATCCAAAATGCTGCCAAACTGCAGCAGTGCTCACTTAATTCACAGCTAACGCTAGCCATTTTGCCTTGTCACTTTTCTCTCTGCATTATTGCCTCGAACAGTGAGCACCCCCACAACCAATCAGTGAGCTCCAACCGCATACCCCTCCCACCCCTCCCTTATTGTGGATGCTCGAATGTCTTAAAGTCCCAGTTTTCAAGGCAGCTGTGAAGCAGAAATGTGGCGAGTCACATTTTTAAATACCATCACCAGTTTAAAATACTGTGGTGTACAGCAATACCGTCATACCACCCAACCCTAGTTACATGCAGAATTTGAGGTTTTCAAATGCACTGATGCACTTGTGGTTTAGATACACTCCGGATCAATCAGCAGCCTATTTAAAGTCTATACATGTTTTACAATTTAAAATCAGTTTTGATGTAGACAAAAATCAACAAAGATATTTTAAAAGCATTCCATTTAAATACACTGCTGTTTATAGGTTAATACGCTGTAGTTTATAGGTTAAATAGTCTGCTGTTTTTAGGTCAAATAGGCTGCAGTTTATAGGTTAAATAGGGTGCTCTTTGTAGATTAAATGCTGTTTAAATATAGTATTAATATGTTAAATAGTCTCCTGTGTATAAGTTAAATAAGCTGGTGTTTGTAGGTTAAATATATTTGTAACTAAATATAGACATACTTACAGAATTAATGCATTGTTTTAATATAACGCATATAGGATGGATAGGCAGTCATTTATACGTTAAATATTCCCTTGGTTATAGGTTGAATAGGCTGCTGTTTATAGGTTAAACTATGCTGTTTTTATCTTATTTTTTACTTTTAGTATTATATATTATCTATAAAGTAACAAACTGTAAAATCCTTGTTAAGTAAGTAATAAGGTTAAATTCTCTTCTTGTTACTTCTTTTCTTTTCTTGAGTGCCTTGCTCTCCCTTTGCTGCTGTAGGCAGGGTTCTCAACTCCAGTCGTAACTGCAAATAGTACTGTACGATAATGATACACAGCACAATGATGCAGATGTTTTTATTTTTTCATGAGTATTTTATTGTAAATATTGCACATGCGTACCCCTATTTAAAAAATATATATATTTAAATGATATCTTTATAACCAAACATGTAACATATAACACATATTTAACATATAAAATATACATTTAAAATATACTTTTTATTGAAATATTATTATTGGTATCTTATCCATGATAAAAAATTAAGCAATCAGGATACTTTTAAATACCAGCACATGGCTACTCAGTATTAAAGTATTTGGATCAGATCTGGGAAAAACAGGACATTCATTACTGTGTGCTGGTGTTTGTATGTGTGTTTGTTGACATGTGATGGCAGTATTCTGGAGCTGAAACATCTAGACACTGAAATCTTATCTTTCAGTTAGGACTGAACTTATTACGGTAGATAGTACAGAATAACATGTCTTAAGTTCATTATCTAATTACAGAAACATCCTAACTAGACAATATTTCCTAAATACTGTCTTAATTTCAGGATAAACATTTACAGTGTCATAACTTCTGTTTGGAGTTCCCATTTCTACTGTTAGCTGTTTTATTGAAAACAGACTCTTATTATTTACAGGCATTAGTGGCAGGTAGCTTACAAAGAAATGACAGCCAGTGAAGCTGAAATTTGTGTAGTTAACTAATTTATATATTTTTTTACATTATTATCCTTATGTCTTTACGTTCCAGTTGTGTGTGCATGTTTGGTTTCTTGGTAAAAGACATAAAAATTCAATATCATCCTCCATAGAGTAGTTTGAGATTTCCTAACTTTAGAAAAAATGTTAAGAAAAATTTAGCATCTATAAATATATGCAAAAATATTATCTAGACCTCATCAGAGCTTTGATTAGAACTAAACATTGGAAGTTTCTGTCATATGACCTAAGGGTGTATTATTATTTCTCTCACTGTGTGTTTAGGTTCCTGTGAGATTTTGTGTATCTGTACGTGTGTGATGTCACTGATGTATTATCATTTCTCTCCCAGTTTGTGGAACTGTGATCTCACAGAGAAAAGCTGTGCAGCTCTGTCCTCAGCTCTTAGCTCAAACTCCTCCAGTCTGAGAGAGCTGGACCTGAGTGACAATGAACTGCAGGATTCAGGAGTGGAGCTGCTCTCTGCTGGACTGAAGAATCCACAATGTAAACTGGAGATACTGAAGTAAGATCATCACTTGGCCTTGTGTAGATCACACAGAAACACACACACACACACACTTTCATAGGTTTACACAGTTTTGTAACTCAGTAACACCTTTAACCCTCTGGGGTCAACGAAAGTACTGGTGCGTCAAATTAGTTGTTTCTCTGTTTCTATTAATATCTCCATGATAATATAGTGCATAAAAACGGTTCAAACAGTTCCTGAATCTGTAGAGAACCCTGTCTATTTCAACCTTTCGCAAGACTGTACGTGATTCACATCTGGAATTATGAGCCAATCCAGACAAATTGAGATTCAAGCCATCTGCCTCTTACCATGTATAACTGGTGGATCCGTGTGTCCGGCGTCTGCCTCTCACCTGTAATTGGTGAACTTGTGTGTCCGTCTACATTCTGCATGAACCTGACCAGTAGACATTCAGAAAATTACGAAGCACTTGTTTAATCCGATTCACATAAGTAAAGCTATGTTTTCACAAGAGACATTAAACATTTTTAAAACCGGACTTCAGTTTTTCAGCTTCAGGGCCGAATTATCTTCTTACACTGAGGTCAAAAGAACCTCATTACAGAGAGAGCTGAGATTTTTTTCAACATTTTGATATATAACATGTGGGTATCACGTCAAATCCAAATGCCTTTAAAGGCACCTTTAGGAATGTATGAAAAAAATAAAAAAAATGCTCTTAGACTTAGCGTGTGAGAGAAAGTCAGAGAGAGAGAGATAAAAGTAACAGAGAATGAGAGAGAAACAGAAAGAGGAAAGTGACAGAGGGAGAGAGAGAGAAGGCACATGAGAGAGAGAGAGACAGACAGCAAAAGAGAGACAGAGGGAGATGGAGAGAGAGAGAAGAGATAGCGATACAAATAGACAGAATAGAGAGATATGGATTGACAGAGAGACAGAAGAGAGATACACAGGGAGAGAGAAACATACAGAAAGAAAGAAGAGAGAATAAAATATCTTCTCTAAAACCTGAAAAAGCAAGTGGACCTGATGGCATAATAAATTAAATGATTAAGTATACAAGCAAAAATTGTAGTTGGCCATTTTCAAACATGATTCTGAGTGCAGGTTATTTCTCTGACATCTAGAATCAAGGTGTTATAACATTCTCAAAAATGGAGATTTTGGACAAAAAAAATTACACAAATTAGGCAACTGTAAGAGTATAATTGTTTAGGACTGAAGATTATTTCAACTGGAAACTTGAATTCAGCAGTTACTGAACTGAGAGAAAAATCACACAATTCAAAATCGGCTCAAATTATTTTGAACAGTAATAAAACTCCTCTGTATGGTAGTGAAGTATGGTGCCACTCTTAAATCAAAATTTTGACCCATGGGACAAACACACATTAGAAATTACGACCCCATTTTCAAAAACACTGTGAAAAAATGTAAATAAAAACAAAATACGATGTGCAACCCTATATTTCATTGAAAATAGTACAAAGACAACATATCAAAAGTTAAACTGAGTAATTTAATTGTTTTTTGAAAAATATTTGCCCATTTTGAATTTGATGCCAGCAACATGTTCCAAAAAAGTTGCTTAAAAAACACCTTGTGGTTAATTGGCAACAGGTCAGTTACATGATTGGGTATAAAGAGCATCTCAGAGAGTTTTTCAAAAGTAAAGATGAGGAGGGGTTCACCAGACAGGGGTTCAGACTGCACGATCAAATAGTGCAACAATTCAAGAATAACTTTTCTATTTTTTTTTTATTATTATTATTAGCAAAAATATATTGTACAAGAGACAGACAAGTACGTTAAGACAAGACAAGCCACAAAAAACACACTCAAAAGTAAAGAAAAAAAGAAATTATTCCCATACCAGACAGACAGTACAATGATAATAATAGTAATAATGACAGACAGGCAGTATACGAAGTAAATAAAGTAATAAGATATATGTATACACATATACACACACACCCATTCAACATCTTTGTACATAAAGTACAATAGTCTATTACAGCAATAATAAGTAAGCAATATTGCTTTGCTGTGCAGAACAAAGGGAGAGCTAGGGTGCCCCTGAGGACCCCCCACCAAACGTTCTCTGTCCCCTCCGTACTCTTCGTCTTTCTCCCCCACCCCTCCAGCCCCAACCTGCTTCCCAGCGCAGGCTGAACATCGCATCAGAGCCACTTTCTGGGTCTTATTTAAAAGCCCACTTTGCACAGGATTCCTTTGAAGTGCCCATGTGGCCTTACTGAGATGGCCACTACGCACAGGATTCCTTTGTTCTGTGTTTGTCAGTGAAAGCTGCTGATTTTGCTCTCTCTGAAGAGGCACCAGAGCTCTGCCGTAACGGGAGGCGGGCGGATGGTGGTAATGGTGGTCCAGGAAGGCGGTAGGGCAGAGCAGACAAACAGGTCTGGAGGGGAAGCCCCCTAAGGACCCCGCAGCATCCCATGCCCCTGCACAGCACCACTCACTGATGGTGTGTTGCATTATACAAGATGTCCTTATAAAATGTGTATATATGTATGTACATACATATACATATGCATACATTCACACACTCTCAAATATGTAAAGGGGGAAAAAGAAAAAAAAATCTTTCAATATCGGGGTACTACTACTCATATCATGTTACATAGTTTTAGTAAGTTTGAAAAATTTAGATTAAATGCATCTATTTTGTTGTGGCTTGCAGCTGATGCTTGTTCACAAGATAGGTGTTTTGTTAATAGATTAGTCCACTGTGTTACAGAAATATTTTTTTTATCTTTCCAATTTAGCAGTATTGTTTTTTTTGCTATAGTTAGTGCTTTAAGTAATGGAACTGTATCTTTGACTGATGATTCTACTTCTGAGAGGTCTCCTAGGAGGCATAGGGAGGGTGACATTGGAATGCTGCTCCCCAAATATAAAGATAATTTTGAGGTTATATTTTCCCAAAAACAGTGAACTGGTGTGCAAATCCAGAATGCATGAAAATAGTCATCGGTTTTGTTAGTTATACATTGTGTACATATGCTTGAATTGGTGAATCCCATTTTAAACAATTTGTATTGCGTAATGTGTGTCCTATGAATAGTTTTATATTGAATTAATTGTATGTTTGTGTTTTTACTCATAATGAAGATATTTTTACAGATTTGTGTCCAGAATTGTGTATCAGTGCTAATATCTAAATCCTTTTCCTATTTATTAGTTGGTATTGATAAAGTTGAATTTAAAGTACCTATGAGAGCATATAACTTTGATAAAACTTTCTTCGGGCTGATGATTTGGTTTAAATTTTCAGTAATGGGGGGTGGACTGAGACTGTTGTGAAAAGTATTAGTTTTGGTTTTTAGTATACTTTTTAATTGATAATATTTCAAATATTGATTTTCCTCTAAGTCAAATTTTTCAGTTAGTTCTTGAAAGCTTTTAAATGTGTTATTCATAAAGAGGTGTTTTAAATGTCTTATGCCTTTGTCTTTCCACTTCTTGTATATAAGGGGTTGTCTGTTAATTGTAAAATCTGGATTGTGCCATATGGGTGTATATGTTAGGTGTCATTTCAAAATTTGTTAGTTTATTAATTTCCCACCACGCTTTTAATGTTGTTGAGATTGTCATGCTTTTAAAACATTCATGATATTTTATGGATTTGCTAAGAAAAGGTAAATCTGCAATGGATATTTCGTTGCAATATGACCGTTCGACATCAAGCCAGGGGTTACAGTCATCATCTGTATGTCTCCATTTTACTAAATTGTGAAGCTGATTTGCTAAATAATAAAACTGAAAATTCGGTGCACCTAGTCCCCCCTTATTTTTGTCTTTTTGTAAAATTGTGAGTTTTATCCTAGGTTTCTTATTTCTCCAGTAGAATTTTGATGTTAACCTGTCTAAATTGTGGAAGCATTTTTTAGTTGGTTCAGTTGGCAACATTGCAAATAGGTAATTGACTTTTGGTAAGACTGTTATTTTGATTGTTGCAATACGGCCTATAAGAGAAATTGGTAAATTTATCCAGCGATTTAGATCATCTTCTATAGTTTTAAAAGTGGTGTAAAATTAAGGTTGAATAACTCTGAAAGCTTGGTGGTTACTTTTATACCTAGATATGTAATGCTTTCTGTGGTAATTTGCAAAGGGTAATTTTGGAGTGCAGCATTCCAGTTCCAGTCACCTATTGGTAACGCTGTTGATTTGTTCCAGTTAACAGAGTAATCTGATATGTGAGAAACTATTAATCAGTTTAATGGTTTCCTTTATTGATGAAGTGGGATCTTGGAGAAATAGTAGCACATCATCTGCATAGAGGCTTATTTTATGATCAATACTATGAGTTGAAATGCCTGTGATTTTATCATTCTGACGTATTGCTGCAGTTAGTGGTTCTATAAATATTGTGAATAACAGTAGTGAGAGTGGACATCCTTGTCGAGTACCACGAGAAAGTGTAAAGCTTGATGAGGTGATGTCATTAGTTATAACAGAGGCCATGGGTGATGAATATAATATTTGGATCCAGTGAATAAATGATGTACTAAAGCCAAATTTATGTAATGTTCTAAAAAGAAAATCCCAGTTTACTTTATCAAAAGCTTTTTCTGCATCTAAGGATAAGATAATTGTTTTTCTATTACTTTTCTTTGTAAAGTTAATAAGGTTGATAAGACGACGTGTGTTATGTGATGATTGTTTCCCTTTTATAAAGCCTGTTTGATCTGGATGGATGAGATTGGATATAACTTTTTCCAGTCTTGTTGAAAGGGCCTTACTTATAATTTTTAAGTCTGTGTTAATTAGTGATATTGGATGGTAGCTTGAGCATAATGTTGAATCTTTATTTGGTTTGAGTAATACTGAAATTAGTGCCGTATTCATTTGGGATGGAATAGACGAAGTTCTTTTTATTTCATCGACCATCTTTATAAACAGGGGGGAGATGGTTGGCCAGAAATGTTTATAGAATTCAGCAGGGAATCCATCCATACCTGGTGATTTATTGTTCGGCATTGATAGAACTGCTTTCCTAAATTCTTCTTCGGTTAATGGTGCTTCTGAAGAGTGTCTTTGGTCATTATTCAACCTAGGAAGGGTGATATCATCAAGAAAGTCGTTAATCTCAGATTGTTTTGTAACTGTATTTTTTGAGTATAAGGTTTTGTAGTAATTTTTAAAAGTTTCATTTATTATTTTCAGGTTTTGAGTACTGTTCCCTGATGAGTCTTGTATAGTGGTTTTGTGTGCTTTTCTTAGTTTTGTTTTAGTTGGTTTGCTAAGAATTTTCTTGATTTGTCATTGTGCTCAAAGTGGTTTTGTCTCAGTCATGAGAGTTAAAATTGTGTTTTTTGATCTATAAGAGTATCTAGCTGGGCTTTAATTTTGTTAATGTTTTTAAGAATTTTTTCTGTGGGATTTTCTGCATATGAGCTCTGGAGTTGCTTTAAATGTTGTTCTAGGCTGCTTTGCTTTTCCTGATCCTTCTTTTTCTTGTGTACTGAATATGGTATGATTTTCCCTCTCATCACTGCTTTTGATGTTTCCCATAATAGTATGGGAGAAGTTTCATGTAGATCATTGGTTTCCATAAAAGATGTCCACTCTCTTTTAAAGTAGGTATCAAATTCTTCTAAAGTCTGTGATGAGCGATGTATTAAATCGCCATCTTGGCCTTGTTGCAGTTTTTTTTTTCCTATGTCCTTAAAACTAAAAGTAATAGGGGCATGATCAGAGATTACTATCGGATGGATTGTTGATTGTGATGTATGTGGTATGATAGAGTTACTGGCAAGAAATAAATCAATGCGAGAGAATGAACGATGAACCTGGGAAAAATAAGTATATTCTTTAATTGATGGGTGTTGCAGTCTCCAAATGTCTCCTAGTCCAAAGTCCTGCATGTATTGTTGTAGTATTTTAGTAGTGCGCCAAATCTTTGAATTGGATTTTGATCTGTCCTGTTCTAAATTTAACACTGTGTTAAAGTCTCCTCCTATTACCAAAGATGAATTTGAAAAGTCTGATAATATTGTAAATAAGTCATGATAAAATGCTGGATCATCTGTGTTTGGTCCATATATATGTGCATTAGTGATATCCTTGTTATTGATTGTGATTTGTATTATGATATAGCGTCCTTGTGTGTCAGATATTGTTTTTTTGTGAATCAACAGAACATTTTTGTGTACCAAAATAGCAACTCCTCTTTTTTTAGAATTGAATGAGGATGAATATATACGGTTAAAATATTTCCCTAAAAGTTTCTTATGTTCAGTTTCTAAAAGATGAGTTTCTTGTAGGAGACAAATGTCTGCTTGTAACTTGTGAAGGTGGTTGATGATTTTAGTTCTTTTTATTCGTGCATGAATGCCTCGTACGTTCCAGCTCAGAAACTTAATGTTTGCGGTAGACATTGTATTGAGAGATGCACAATGTAATCTTTATAATCAATGAATATTACCAAATATCTTTTTTGTATATATGATCATTAAAGTGCTGATGAAAAGGGTGATCCTGATGACCAGTTCTAATATATACATGTAAAGTGAATAATGGTTGACTGGATATTAATGTATTATAGTGACTTAAAATAAAGCACCAGCAGATCCCAATTAGCATTATATCAGGCCATAGACGTAATTCTAAGAGGCCCTCATATTTATAAAAATTGCCAGATGAGTAGTATGTTAATTTCAAATATAGCAACTTTGTAAAGGTGAGATAACAAATAATTACAGCTAGAACAGTTATAAAGACAAACATATATACACAAGCACACAGAAACAAACAGAAAAGCATCAGTGATATGTATACTGTAGGAAAGAAAAGAAAGGATTGACTACTGGGTGATTAGTGATTCAGTTCGTGGTCTCTGAGCACCATTTTTTTTTTTTCTTTTAAAACAGCCATGGTGTAACTTCTGAGTCTCTATATAGTTTCCCATCGAGATATAGTCTGTCTACTGAGACTGTTGCACGTATTCCTTTTTTTCTGTATTCTTTTCTAATCTGGAACAGGACTTTTCTTCTTTCTTGAATCTCCTTTGGAAACTGGTCACTAAGGCCAAATTTAGTGTCTTTAAGCTCTCTTCCTCTGCTTCGAACAAGCTCTTTTTGTTTATATCGTTCGAATTTGGCGACGATAGGTCATGGATATGCGTTACGTTTATGACCAATGCGGTGAACGCTGTGAAAGGAGATCTCGTTGACTCTATTCTCCGGTATCTTTAGGTGCTCACACATGAAGTTTTTAACAGAATAAAGAATGAGAATGACGTTTCTCAACATAAAATAGCAAAAAACTTTTGCTTTTCATCAAATAACGTAATAACATTAAAAGCATGGCTCCGTATTGAAAGAGTCCAGGCGCTAAACTGACCTGCCTGCAGTCCAGACCTGTCACCACTGAAAACATTTGCTGCATTATAAAATTAAAAATATGATAAAGGAGACCCTGAAGTGATGATCAGCTGAAATCCCATGTTAAGCAAAAATGGCAAAACACTTCACTTTCAAAACTAGGACTGTCTCCTCAGTTCCTAAACGCTTATAGAGTGTTGTCAAAAGAAGAGGTGATGAAACACAGTGGTAAACATGCCCGCGTCCCAACTTTTTTGGCATCAGATTCAAAATGGGCATATATTTTTCAAAAAACAATAACATTTTTCAGGTTCAACATTTAATTTGTTGTCTTTGTACTATTTTCAGTGAAATATTGGGTTTAAATGATTTGCACATTATTGAAATTTGTTTCTATTTACATTTTGCACAGTACAGGCTCAGTTAACACAGGCTGGTCGTACAGACCGGCCGCTATAAGAACACAGTACAGACTTACTGAACGCAGCCTGGCCATACAGACCGGCCACTATAAGAACACAGTACAGACTCAATGAACGCAGCCTGGCTGTGCTGTCCAGTTGCTAAAGACAACATGTCTGTTCAGACCGGATGCTATAAGACATCCTGGCTGCTTAAAGAGCAGAGAATCTGCCAGCAGTGCAGCAGCATCAAGACAGAGCTGCACTTTGTCACAGAATATAAAAATTTCAAACAATTGCATAAAATGTGATGTATAAAATTTGAGAAGATCTACCCCCGATTTTAGCAAATTGCCCATCCTGTTAGGAGAAAAGAGAAAGCAGCGCTTTAGCAGGACGATATATATCTGCCTGCAACAATATGATGGATGGTGAGTGACCCACACAAACACAGCGTAGCGCGCACACACACACACACACACACACACACAAACATTACACACATAAAAACACTATGCACAAACGAACATACAGCAGAAAATGTATTGCCTTGTTTGCGAACAACTTTGTTTCTCCAAACTACTCTGTTTAGTTTTTTTATACTATTTGATCTATTATTATTATTATCATTAATTATTGTTAAATTTATGATTATTAATGTAATTATTGTTTTTTCTTCCAAAGAAACTTTTCAGATCTTTGGACAGAAATGGAGAGAGAGACTATATGTAGAGAAATAAATACAACGAGCTACAGAGAGAGATCAGGAGGATTTTTAAGTGTGTATTATCTGATTCTGAGTGCGTGAGTGAGTATGAGTGTGTGATTGTGATTGTTAGTGTGTGTGTGGGGGGGGTGATGTTGTTCTGATGTACCATCATTTCTCTACCAGGTTGTGTGGCTGTAATCTCACATTGAAAAGCTGTGCAGCTCTGTCCTCAGTTCTCAACTCAAACTCCTCAAGTCTGAGAGACCTGGACCTCAGTAACAACAAACTGCAGGATTCAGGAGTGGAGCTGCTCTCTGCTGGACTGGAGAATCCACACTGTAAACTGGAAAAACTGGAGTAAGATAATTACTTTATCAGTTGTGGATGTTCATCACACACTTCTAAAGCTTTGCTTGTTTCTATAACTCAGTAACAGCTTTTTACTCAGATAAGAGACACACACCATACAAATCAGTAGGGCTCCACTATTCTAGGTACAGTGCTGTCATTGCTGTGCAGTAAAGCATCTGTGAGGAATTCAAAACACAAAACTCAGCCCTTGTACTCATATTGCAGTTTTTATTAACTGATTAAACATAATTAATTATAATAATAACTACCCCTCTACTGACAAATACACAGTTCTCCAGTTTGGCATCAACCGCTGCAGCCACTCTCAACTTTGTTTCAAAAGTAGGAAAAAAGCAGGAAGTGTTTTTTTTTTCCTGAATATTTTGAGTGTTTGGTTTGGAGGGTGTTATGGAGTATATTTAACTGAAATTTGTTTCTACTACACCTAACTAGGAGACAAGAATAGAATCCACTTAATGTTCTAACACTTTGATAAATTCTTAATCTGTTATTTAGTTACATCTGTTTTCTAATAATTATCACCTTTACAGAAACCTCCCAACTAATCAGCATTTCCTAAACACTGTGTAAACTTTAAGATAAACCCCAACAGTGTCATAAATTCTGTTTTATGCTTCCATTTTTTTGCTGCACTAAAAAAAAGACTCATTGTTTATAGGAATACAAAGAAACAGTGGCCAATGAAGCTGAAATGTGTCTAGCTAACTGTAACTTACATAATTATTTACATTATTTTCACTATGTGATTACATCCTAGCTGTGTGTGCATGTTTGGTTTCTTAGTAACAAATCAAATCATATTTATTGTCACATCAGATTTATACAGGTGTGAAGGTGAGTGAAAACCTTTGGTGCGTAGCCCCCTCGTAGTACTAAAAATAAAAATATAAGAAAAGAAACACACACACACATATATATATATATATATATATATATATATATATATATATATATATATATATATATAATATTTAGTTTCTGTAATACAACCAAGTGGAGTATTATTTTATTATTTTTCTCTCACTGTGTCTTTAGTCTGTGAGACTGTGTGTGTATTTCTGTAAGTGTTTGTCTGATGTCAGTGTTCTGATGTATCATTTCTCAGGCTGCGTTTGTGTAATCTCACAGAGGAATGCTGTGCAGCTCTGTCCTCAGCTCTCAGCTCATACTCCTCAAGTCTGAGAGAACTGGACCTCAGTTATAATAAACTACAGGATTCAGGAGTGGAGCTGCTCTCTGCTGGACTGAAGAATCCCCACTGTAAACTGGAGACACTGGGGTAAGGTCATAATTTTATCACTGTGTGTATAGAGATCACAAACACATTTCATAGGTTTGCATGGTTTTATAACTCAGCAACACCTTTAAACAGAGAGAGAGAAAGATGGAAAGAGAGAGAAGAAACTGGGAGAGAGAAAGAATGTAGTTTAGGATTTCCTAACTTGAGATAAGTTTGTGTGTGTGTGATATCAGTGTTCTGATGTATCTTCATTTCTTTCCCAGGCTGTGTGAGTGTAATCTCACAGAGAAAAGCTGTGCAGCTCTGTCCTCAGCTCTCAGCTCAAACGTCTCAAGCCTGAGAGAACTGAACCTGAGTAAGAATGACCTTCAGGATTCAGGAGTGGAACTGCTCTCTGCTGGACTGAAGAATCCACACTGTAAACTGGAGACACTGAGGTGAAATCACTGTGAATATACATCATACACACAAACATACACACTCACACGCACACTTCCGTTGCTGTGCATCATTTTAAAATTCAGTAACAGCTTTTTCACACAGATAAGACCCACACCACAACAAGCAGACTCAACTTTTCTGTATACAGTGCTGTCATTGCTATGCAGTAAAGCATCTGTGAGGAATTCAAAACACAAAACTCACCCTTTGTACTCCTACTGCAGTTTTTATTGACTGATAAAACATAATTAACAAAATATTTAACCATCACTTTAAATATCTTTGAGGAATCCAGTGTGGGGGGAAAAACTCAGATTACAGTTTTTCTTGATAAAACAAAACTCAGGTCAACTTAATCTTCACTGTCACTTTCTTAGCATAAGAAAAATGTTCTCTTTCAGAAATGTTAATGCATTCTTGTTTCTATCACAGAAAAACAAAACTATTGGATAACTGTGTAAAACAAAAAAAATGGTAAAAGCTTAAAAAATTCTCATAGTCATAGCTACTGTCAGCACCTGTTTGAAGTAGTCAATTTTGAGATTATTGGTGATTTATTACTATTAATTAATATATTAGGAATTATTAATAATAATAATTCTAAAAATCAGGGCACCAGTCTAACAGGACAAAATAGGCTCAAAAAGGTCAGACTTGATGATTAACACCCTAAAAATATAGATTAACAATAAAAATAGTAGTAATTATTCATAAATCTAAAAAAACCTGAAGAAGTACTTCTTTCCAGCAGTAAAATGTCTGTGACAAAGAGATATATACATAGGTAAAACATTCACAGAGTTTATAATAAAGCAACCAGTAAAAGTAATGACAAGATTAATGCAAGATCTCTATGGAAACAAGACAAGAGAATACAAAGTAAGATAATCATGCTGAAAAGGGGTAGTTAAGATATTATTGGTACAAAACATGGAAGACTAGTTCAAACCTAAAGAACTAAACCTGGTTATGTAATAACACAGTATAACAGGACAATCACATTGCCAGGATTGGAGAGAAAAAGCAGGGAAAAAGCTTTTAATAATGTATGTACAATTACTATAATATTCTTGGGGTAATGACTGAGAGGTTCGGCAATAGCATCAGTCTTTTGTCTATCGTAACCAGGCATTGCAGCAAGTATCCACTTGAATCCAGAAAGTCTGCAGATTCAGCTGAGACTGAGTCTGTGTGGGATCAGCCAAAGTTTAATTGAAAATCAGTAGATGCTGATCACTGAAGTTGGTGATCAGGGATCAAAAGACTCACAGTTCTCAACTTATGGAACAACATGAGGTGTTGTGACTTACAGAGGAAAAAGTAGGCAGTGCCCCAGTCCCTGTCACATCTGGTCCTCACTGTTGTTGGGTTCCTTTTTAATATGGGTGGTATTTTGAGTGATATTCGACCTCCCACTGGCTTGTCTTGTGAGAACTGGACATAAGGTTCATTTTACATCCTTATCATGTCACTGGTGTATCACACAACATCAAAAGCCATCTATATGTTTCAGGCAAGAGTTCACTTTTGGTTCAAGATGGAACACAGGAAGAGGGAATTACACCTTCATACAACATGGCATCAACACAAACATTTCTCTTGTGGCGTTCTTCCTGAAGTGTTTGGGTTTTTAGCATTCTTAGAGATGGGGATAAGCAGACCCTCTTTCTTTGTGAAGTATGTGCTTTTAGCATGATCCACCAGAGATGGGAGTTCTTTGCTTCATCATTTGTCTAAAATGATAAACATACAGGAAGCCTGCAATAATATCAGTAGGATGAGCTTACAAAGAAATAATGTCCAATTAAGCTGAATTTGTCTAGTTAACTGTAATTTGCATGATTGTTCACATTATTTTCACTATGTGTTTATGTTCTACCTGTGTGCACATGTTTCTTGGCAATAGACGTAACAGTTGAATATCAACCTTGTTAGAGTATTTTAGTATTTCCTAATTTGAGAAAAGATGTTGCAAAATATCATTCCTAGACTTAGAGAAGATTAGCACTGATCAGTATAAAAAATCCTATCTTGATCTTTTCAGATCTTTAATTAGAACTAAATAAAGTTATGACCCACTGATATATCATTCCTCTAATTGTGTTTTTAGGTTTCTTTGAGATTGTGTGTGTCTGGGATGTCAGTGTTTTGATGTATCATCATTTCTTTCCCAGGCTGTGTGAGTGTAATCTCACAGAGAAAAGCTGTGCAGCTCTGTCCTCAGCTCTCAGCTCAAACTCCTCCAGTCTGAGAGACCTGGACCTGAGTTTCAATAAACTGCAGGATTCAGGAGTGGAGCTGCTCTCTGCTGGACTGGAGAATCCACACTGTAAACTGGAGAAACTGAAGTAAGATAATCACTTTACTGTGTGTTTAGAGAACACACTCACACTTTCATAGCTCTAAATTTTTTTCATAGCTCAGTAGCACATTTAAACAGACATTAAAAGAGACAAAGAGAATGCAAAAGAAATGGGGAGAATGGGGAAAAGGTTACTGTAGATCACTTTATCAATAGATCATACATGCTTTCATAGATTTGTACAGATTTATAACTTATTAACACCTTAGAACAGAGAGAGAAAGAAGAAACAGAGACAGAGAAAGACTGAAAGAGAGGTAGAATGAGAAAGATAAGGCAGAGAGAAAGACAGAAAATATTAAGCAGAGAGAAAAGTACAGAGAAAGAGAAAAGTGAAAGAGAGAGGAGAGAGACAGCAAATGAGAGACAGGCAGCAAAAGAGAGAAAGAGACAAGAAGATATATTTGTGTGTGTGTGTGTGTGTGTGTGTGTGAGATGTCAGTGTTCTGATGTATCATCATTTTTCTCCCAGTCTGCGTTGGTGTAATCTCACAGAGAAAAGCTGTGCAGCTCTGGCCTCAGCTCTCAGCTCAAACTCTTCCAGTCTGAGAGAAGTGGACATCAGTAACAATAACCTGCAGGATTCAGGAGTGGAGCTGCTCTCTGCTGGACTGAAGAATCCACACTGTAGACTGGAGAAACTGGAGTAAGATCATTACTTTGTTACTGTGGATGTGCATCACATCTGGAGTCTCAGTAGGACTCCACTTTTCTATTTACAGCACTGTCGTTGCTGTGCAATAAAGCATCTGTGAGAAATCAAGTTTGTAGGTAAAACACTCAACTCATTCCTTGAACTCTTATTACTGTTTTCCTTGATTCATCAAAAATATTTAACAAAACTGTGTCAACATAATCTTCACTGTCACTTTTTTAACATAAGAAAAGTGTTATTTTGCAGGTATGTTAATACATGTTTGCTGCATTCACTCATTTTTCATTTTTTTAGTATTTTTTCAGAGTAGTTAACACAGATGTCACAAAAAACACCAAAGTTTTGGACAGTGGTGTAAAATAAGGGAAAACATTTTGGTAACAGATTAAACAAAATATTCTCACAGTCACATCTACCTTTAGCATCTGTTGAAACTACATATTGCACAACTATTGCTATTAGTTGTGCTATTGTTAGTAGTTTTTTTTTATCAGGAATAGAGTACAGATGAATGTCTTTACATAAAACTGATTTACATAATGACAGACTTACCTGTTGAGAGACAAAAATAAAAAAAATATACAATGGATTTTGCCAGAGTACTATAAGCATGTGCTTTAGGCTTTAAGGCACTCAGAGTTACACATGCACCTCTACCCAAAAAAGAGAGAAATCACCTGTGGTATTCAGAAACATTTATTTCTGTGTTTTGCTTTTTTCACACTTATAAAAATTGAAAGAAAAATGGAAAATGCCCGGAAGCTGACAATGATGTCAGTAGAGTGATGTGTAATAGGAATGTCTGTTATTGTGTAAAGACAATTCATACAACAGCAGTCTTACCTGTTGAGATTTCGAAAAATGGTGTATAGTGGATGCTGCAGTGCACTGACATAGATTTGGGTTGGATCTTTTTTCACTTTTTGTCATGGATATTTCATATTTGGTGATGTGATTGATAATTGTTGCCTGAATTTCACTGGAAGTATCAGTTTAGTATGGTATGCAGGCCAGCACCTCTGCCAGAGTCTGTCCCTCTACTGACAAATACTCAGGCCTCCAGTTTGGCATCAACCACTGAAACCAATCTCATCTTTGTATTAACAGTAAAGAAAAAAAGAAGCAGGAAAAATATTTGTTCCTGAACTCTGTGCTGCTTAGATATAAATATAGTTTTTGTTTTGGAAGTGTAGATGTTTGACTTTAACATTGTTGACTTTTGGCAAAGCTCAAAGGGCAATGAAACATGTTTGTGTGCATGTATCTGTGAGTGTGCATATGTGAGTGTGTGTGTGTGAGTGTGGTGTGTGTGTGTATGTGTGTGATGTCAGTGTTCTGATGTATCTTCATTTCTTTCCCAGGCTGTGTGAGTGTAATCTCACAGAGAAAAGCTGTGCAGCTCTGTCCTCAGTTCTCAGCTCAAACTCCTCAAGTCTGAGAGAACTGAAACTGGTTAGCAATAAACTGCAGGATTCAGGAGTGGAGCTGCTCTCTGCTGGACTGAAGAATCCACACTGTAAACTGAAGATACTGGAGTAAGATCATCACTTTATTTGTGTTTATATAAAACACACACACACACACACACACACACACAGTTTCAAAGCTCTGTATTGCTTTATAACTCAGTAACACATTTAAACACAGAGAGAGACAGAGACAGTGAAATAAAGAAAGACAACAAAAATGAAAGAGAGCAAAAGACAGAGAGAGAGATGGAGTGAAAGGTGACTGTAGATAGTTTTATCTTAAGAGGAACAGGGAATAGTCAAGACTGTCATTGTATAAAACTGATTGACACAACTACAAACATACTTATTTATAGTAAAAAAAAATCAAACCATCGATTCTGCCAGAGCATTATAACCATGTGTTTTAAGACAATTTGTACTGCACATGCCCCTCTACCGAAGAAAGAGATTTTTTTATCACTGTGTGTCATGGATATTGCGTATTTGATGATGTGATTGATAATTGATGCCTGAAGTTCACTGGATGGATCAGTTTAGTATGGTATGTATGCCAGCACCTCTAGCTTAGGACCCTCTGCCACAGTCTTTCCCTCTACTGACAAATACTCAGGCCTCCAGTCTGGCATCAACCACTGAAACCACTCACCTTTGTTTCAACACTATGGAAAAAAAGGAGGAAAAGTGTTTGTTTCTAAATATTTTAAGTGTTTAGTTGGGGGGGTGGTATGGAGCACATGGCACCGAAATTCTGCTAAAACTACCTAGGAGACAATCATTAATTCCACTCTGTAATATTCTTATACTTTGATAAATTCTAAATCTATTTACAATAAACCATTTACAATACAATAAATTCGCAGCACATATGCACAGCACAAATGAGGACTGAATTGTTGTTTAGTGAGTGATTGAAGGAATTTACTCAAATGATTGTAAGATGTAGTGATTGAAAACTTTGATTTGTGTTGTGTGTTTAGTGGGGGTAGACCATTTTGCAAAGAAAGTGTGTTATTTTGGCTATCCCATTTGCTAAAGTATGTTAACTTTAAAAATATGAATGAAGTAATGTATTCAAGCATTCAAGTAAAATAATATCTCTCAGTTTTTGTGCTGCTTAGATATAAATATAGTTTTTGTTTTAGTCTAGAAATGTAGATATTTTACTTTAGCAGTGTTGACTTTAGCAGAGCTCAAAGAGCAAAGAAATGTGTGTGTAAGAGAGTGAGTTTGTGTGTGTGTGTCTGTGAGTGAGTGTGCATATGTGAGTGTGTGCGTGTGTATGTGTGTGATGTCAGTGTTCTGATGTATCATTATTTCTGTCCCAGGCTGTTCAATTGTGATCTCACAGAGAAAAGCGGTTCAGCTCTGTCCTCAGCTCTCAGTTCAAACTCTTCAAGTCTGAGAGAACTGAAACTGGTTAGCAAGAAACTGCAGGATTCAGGAGTGGAGCTGCTCTCTGCTGGACTGGAGAATCCACACTGTAAACTGGAGAAACTGGAGTAAGATCACCACTTTATCACTGTGTACATATATATAGTAGAGAGATGTGTAATGGGTATGTCTGTTGTTGTGTAAAGATCTTCTGTCACAAATATTCTGGAATTGATGATGTGTTCTATAATTGTTGCCTGAATGCCAGAAAAAAACTATAACAACTATATCTCTGTTTTTTTCTGTATAGATACACAATATAGTTTGTGTTTTGGTCTGGAAAGGTAGTTGTCTCTGACAGTTTAGCATTGTTTTCAGGTGACCATTACCATGAAAGAAACAGAGAGAGAGTATGTGTGTTTGTGTGTATGTATATGTGTGTGTTTGTGTGTGTGTTGATCTGTAAATGTGAGGAGTTTTTCTTCTCTCTGCAGGCTGTCTCACTGCAGTATTACAGATGAAGGCTGTGCTGCTCTGGCTTCAGCTCTAAAATCAAACCCCTCCTCTCACCTGAGAGAGCTGAACCTATACAACAATAAACCAGGAGAGTCAGGAGTGAAGCTGCTCTCTGATCTACTGGAGGATCCACACTGTAAACTGGAGAAACTACAGTGAGACACTAACTTACTGTCTTTATACCACACACACATGAACAGAAATAGCATGCTGAATGTGAAGAATCTAGACATATTTATGAGTAAATATGTTTTTTACGAGCCATAATGTGTCTCAATATTTATTTTTTTCTGACATCTCAAGACAAAGTAGTGCCATATTTTAAAAATACTATCAGTAACTATGACTCCAATTACTTGCAGTCAACATTTTAGACACTGTGCTGCATTAAATCCAATTAAACAGGAATTATTATTCTTTCTTTTTAATCAGACATGCAGCTCGGAAGTTATTATTAAGTACTGACGATATTCACAATATGCTACTCCTAGAGACCAGCCACCTGCTGCATACCCCTTCACACTTCTTATACATACACATGCACATGATGCATATGTGAGAGATTTAGCCTTGTAAAATCACACCTCAATATATCAAATATGTTTATGAAGTGATGACATTGCACACCAGATAAACCGAATAATACTTAATAAATAATATTATTCACTAGTGCATAGTGGGTCTATATGAAGACACATATGCATGTGTGAGACAGTCTGCAGTTGCACAATGAACAGTGACTAACAAAATGTTCACTAATGTGTGCTATAGATCACATTCGGCAGAGTAACATCATTCGTTCAGTAAGCCGAAAATAACCCTAAATAACCACTACAGCCTTTACAACTGTTAATGTGTTAAACTGTAAACCTTCACAGTTGTACAGGTTGTGCTCTTTTTAGATGCTCCCTAAAAGAGGAACATGTTGGTGTTTTGCTCTTTGGAGCCTCTATGTTCAAAACATTTACTGAAGAATTCTTTTATAATATATTCGGCAGTAGTTCTCTGATTATCAAAAGTGAGAAAATGTCGATCTAAACATTTTTGCAAGCTTATTTCATGAGAAATTAAAGAGACAAAATTGAGTATCTAGTGAATGTCTAATATAAAACGAACTTTACCATGTTTGTTTAGTTTAACAGCCCTGCAGATCGAACCAGCTGTAACAGACAGCCAAAGGGCTAATTACAGAAGCTACAGACTAATATCTCACTAACTTACAACTGAGAACTGAACCACGGCTGTGAAAGTGAAACTAACTGGCAAGCACAACTAACAAGGATCATACTGGCCTTAACAACAGTACATAAAGGACAATCACTTCATTCATGCCAACAACAGTAGACCATAAACTAATGAATGAACTTTAACACACAGAAGGGACTGGAGTGAAACAACTTCTTTTCCCGCTCAGCCTTTTATATAAACAATGACAAATAAAGAACAAAATACCTATTAGAGCACACATTTGTAGTAACTCACTCACTCATCACTTGTGAATGTATGCCAGAGCTGCTATCCAGATATCTGTATTCAGAGATCTGCTCAGTTTCAGTGAGGTTCTCTTATTCAGGAGTAGGTAAGTGCAGAGCTGTTTATGTTGTCTGAATCAGGGAAGTATCTGTGTAATTGCATGACCAGCTGCTGGTATAAAGTAAAGATTAAATGAATTGCAAATGTCAAATGTCTATATTTTATCCTCAACTTTATTTGGCATACACATACCACAGTTTGGGAAACACTGCAGTAAAGTATTACCATCACAGACATGCATCACAAATGAAGACTGCACAGGTTCAAACTGAACCTTGTATTTTGTGTTTTTGGCTGTTTAGTGAGTGACTGAAGTAATTTACTCTCCTGATTGTAAGTTGTAGTGTCTGATAGAAAAGTTTGATTGTGTTGTGCGTTTAGTGGGGGATAGACCATTTTGCAATGAAAGTGTGTTATTTTGGCTTGCAAGCCACTGTTTACCAATATGTATTACGTGTGTAATATGTAAAACTTCTGAAGGAACTAATGCATTCAAGCAATCAAGAATAACGTCAGCTTCTATGCTCCATATCTATAAAATATAGTTGGGATTTTTTTTTTGGTTTGGAACTGCCCTTGTTTGACTCTGGAATTGTTTTTAGAGCTCAAAGGGCAAATGACTGTAAAAGAAATATAGACAGAGAATGAGAAAGAGAGAATGAGAAAGAGAGAAAGCATTGCTGTGTTTTTGTGTGTGTGTGTGTGTGTGGTGTGTGTGTGTGTGTGTGTGTGTGATGTCAGTGCTCTGATGTATCATCATTTTTCTCCCAGTCTAGATATTGATCTCACAGAGAAAAACTGTGCAGCTCTGTCCTCAGCTCTCAGCTCAAACTCCTCCAGTCTGAGAGAACTGTACCTGGGTGAGGATGGATGGCTGCTGGATTCAGGAGTGGAGCTGCTCTCTGCTGGACTGAAGAATCCACACTGCAAACTTGAAATATTGAAGTAAGATCATCACTTTGTCACTGTATGTGTATGGATTCCCCCCACACACAAACACACTTTCATATGCATGCAACTCAGTAACACATTTAAAGAGATAAAAACAGTGAAAGAGAGACAAAGAGAGAAATTGAGAGAAAGGTGACTGTAGATGAGTTTTTATCTCAAGAGGAATAGGGAATAGTTAAGACTAATAACAGACTAATTAATAACAGACGTACAAACTGAGAGCAAAGAAATTAAAAATCAGTGATTTCATCCAGAGTGCTGTAACCATGCTCTTTAAGGCAATTTGTATTGCCCATATCCCTCTAACCAAAAAGAGAATTCAGCTGAGATATCCAGAAACATTTGTTTCTGTGTTTTGCTTTTTTCCACAATTATGTAAACATGTGAGAAAAATGGAAAGCAACATTGTCTAAAATGATAAACATACAGGAGGCCAGCAGTGATGTCAGTAGAGGGATGTGTAATAGTGTTTTATTATGTAAAGATAGTTCATACAGTGACAGTCTTACATATTGAGATTTGGAAAAATGTGTACAACGGATGCTACAGTGTGCTGACTTCGATTTGGGTTGGACCTTCTTCCACTTTGTTGTAAACAAGACATAATTGATGCCATGGTGTGTGTTGTTGTCTGAATTTCGCTGGAAGTTTAAGTTCAAATACTCAGACGTCCAGTTTGGCATCAACCATTGCAATCACTCTCACATTTGTTTCAAAGGGTATAGAAAAAAATAAACAGGGAAAATATTGTTTCTAAATATTTAGAGTGCTTGGTTTAGGACAGTATGGAGCACATTGCACTGAAATGTTTTTACTGGTAAACGTACTGAGAAGACAAGAATAGACCATGCTGTGATATTCCTACACTTTGACACATTCTAGAGTTGTTTACAATACAGTATCAGTGGATGAATGAGCACTGACATACAGCACCAATGAAGGCTGAATAGGCTGAAACTGAAACCTGTGTTTTGTGTTTTTTGTTGTTTAGTGAGAGACTGAAGGAATTAACTCACCTGACTGTAAGCTGTAGTGACTGATAGAAAAGTTGTTTTTTTGCCATGAGTTTATTGTTTAGACAGAGTTGTATGGTTTTGCAAAAAAGTGCATTCTTTTGGCTAGCAAGCCTATGTTTAGGGTTGTGCATTGACTGTTTTAAAAAATCACTTCTCAATGAACAAAAATGTTCAAACAATCAAGGAAATATAATGTCAGAAAAAATGTAATGCTTTTTCTGCGTATATATAAAATATTTTTTTTTGTTTTGGTCTGGAAGTGTATTTCCTTATCTGTGAGAGCTTAGCATTGTTCTCAGATTACCATGACCATGAAAGAGACAGTGAGAGAGAGATAGAGAGAGAAAGAGAGAGAGACAGTATTTGTGTGTCTGTGTGTGTTTTGATCTGTAAGTGTGAGTGTAAGTTTTTCTCCTTTTTTCTGCAGTCTGGGTGGCTTCAGTATTACAAGCAAAGTATGTACAACTCTGGCTTCAGCTCTAAAATCAAACTCCTCCTCTCACCTGAGAGAGCTGAACCTATACCTCAATGAACCAGGAGAGCCTGGAGTGAAGCTGCTCTCTGATCTACTGGAGGATCCACACTGTAAACTTGAGAAACTATAGTGAGTTACTGACTTACTGTCTCTATACACACACACACACACACACACACACACAGAAATAGTGTGCTGTATGAGAAGAGTCTAGAGGTGTGTATGAATGAATAAATATATTTAAGTTAGATTGTGTGTGTGTGTGATTTGGGTTGTTCAGTGAAATGAATGATAGATTTCATTTATATACGACATTAATACATGAATAATAATAACAGATTTATTACATGAGTACGTTAACATGAAATTAGTTGATTTAAAGTGAAATACTATTACTGTTTTTATACCTAGTTTATTTTTCAGCAATTCTGTAAGGAAATCAATATGTAAGATGGAATTTAAAATCTGATGGATCAAACCTTAAAATTACTAAAAAACTACCTGAATTACAGCTTTGAAATTTTACATGCATGACATGACATGACGGGACAGGTTCTAGGTGTGCTGGTGTTGAACCAGACTGAGTTCATGTCTAATCATTCTTTCTTTTTTTCTGTCTTACAGCATCAGACCAACATTCGACTGATCTCACACACAGAGGGTTATGAGGAGAGGATGGAGTCTTTGTACAAACACACACACTCAGTATATGGTTCTACATGGTACCGTGTGTGTTTGGGTTCTTATTGGTCAAATCTGTGAGCATGGCTACCTCACAGGACTGTGATTTCCCCATGACTTCCTGTACACCAGTGACTGCACCTCCAGTGATCTTTTAATAATATAAAAATAAAAAGAACAGAAGGAGAAAAAAACTGGACCGAGACAAGACTCAGTCCAACAGACGTCTAGACCAAGACAAGATCAAGTGGCTTCTAAGATTGAACAGTAGAGCTGAGATTAACAATCAGATGATGTAGAATCCAGAGTCATCTACTGACCTATTGAAGGATGCAGAAGATGTGTTGCTGCTGGGAAAGAGAGTGGTGGAATGTGAGGCATTAAAATTCAATAAAGGATGAGTTTATGACTCATTTGGGGTTTTGGTTTAGGTTTCTGCAAACCTTTGCAGTAGGGGTTGCATGACCAGCTTTTTGAAAGTCGAGAGTTATGTGATCGAGTCGAGTCAACATGATGATGTCATGAATAAACCCACAAGAAGAGGGAACGCTTTGCAACAAGTGACTTAAAAAATCTGTGACGTGCCCCTTCCAACAATCCCTGGATTGCATTGCTGGCCTTCAGGGAACCGGTGATATGGACCCCAGAACCTCACAAATTTGTATCCGACTCAGGCGACCCCTAGCCTTGCAGAGAAGCTCATCCATGGTGGAGGTCTGGAGAGCCAGTGAAATGTAGAGCACTGTAACTTGGCGAAATAAGAGTAACTTACTTCAGACTTTACAGGATCACAGGGCGCTATGCTCCCTCTCCAACCTTTTATTGTAGTCTTTGGTAAAATGGAGATGACAATCTTCAATGTCTGATCTTTGAAGCTCTGTAGATTGACAGAGAATTGTTAGCACTGTTGTCACCTCCTCACCTGTTGTCCTCTCCGAGGCCTCCGTGCTGTTAATATCATAATCACATGATCAGCGACTGGTCGATATCAAGCGTCATTGCCGAGAAGTCGATAAATCAACTAGCCAACTAGTCTGTGCAACCCCTACTTTGCAACAATGCTCATTTGAATTGAATCTGATTTGAAATGAACTGAATACCTCAAAATATGTTTTTGAATCTACAACCCCATTTCCAAAATAGTTGGGATACTGTGCAAAATGTAAACAAAAACAAAATACAATGATATGCAAATCGTTTAAACCCTATATTTAATTGAAAATAGTACAAAGACAACATATCAAATGTTGAAACTGAGAAATTTTATTGTTTTTTGAAAAATATTTGCCCATTTTGAATTTGATGCCAACAACACACCCCAAAAAAGTTGGGACGGGGGCAACAAAAGGCTTGTAAAGTTGTGTAATGCTAAAAAACAACCTGGTGGTTGATTGACAACAGGTCAGTAACATGACTGGGTATAAAGAGCATCTCGGAGTGGCTGAGTCTTTCAGAAGATGAGGAGGGGTTCACCACTCTGTAAAAGACTGCACGATCAAATAGTGCAACAATTCAAGAATAATGTTTCTCAATGTAAAATAGCAAAGAACTTTTGCTTTTCATCATCTACGGTGCATAATAACATTAAAAGATTCAGAGAGTCTGGAGAAATCTCTGTATGTAAGGGACAAGGCCAAAAACCAGAATTGGCTGTCTGTGATCTTTGGGCCCTCAGACAGCACTGCATTAAAACAGACATGATTCTGTAGTGGAAATCACTGCATGGACTCACTTCGGAAAACAATTCCTCACTGCATCCACAAATGCAAATTAAAACTCTAAAACACAAAGAAGAAAACCAGATATAAACAGGATCCAGAAATACTGCCACCTTCTCTGGGCCTGAGCTCATTTAAAATGGACTGAGGGGAAGCGGAAAAGTGTCCTGTGGTCTGACAAAAGCCAGTATTTATGATGGTGTAGGGGGCCATTAGTGCACATGGTAGGGTGATGTGCACATCTGTGAAGGCACCATTAATGCTGAACGATATATACAGGTTTTGGCAACATATGCTGCCATCCAGACGACGTCTTTTTCAGGGAAGGTCTTGATTATTTTAGCAAGACAATGTAAAACTACATTCTGCATGTATTACAGCAGCGTTGCTCCGTATTAAAAGAGTCCAGGTGCTAAACTGACCTGTCTGCAGTCCAGACCTGTCACCACTGAAAACATTTGGTGCATTATAAGATGAAAAATACGACAAATGAGAGCCTGAACTGATGAGCAGCTAAAATCCTGTATCGAACAAGAACAGGAAAACATTTCACTTTCAAAACCACAGCAGTGTCTCCTCAGTACTTACACACTTACACTTAGTGTTGCTAAAAGAAGAGGCGATGAAACACAGTGGTAAACGTGTTGTTGGCATCAAATTCAAATGGGCATATATTTTTCTGAAAACAATAACATTTCTCAGTTTCATCATTTGATATGTTGTCTTTGTAGTTTTTCAATGAAATACAGGGTTTAAATGATTTGCACATCATTGCATTTTGTTTTTATTTACATTTTGCACAGCGTCCCAATTTTTTTGGAAATGGGGTTGTATGTTGTGTTGATTTTAGTTGTGCTTTGGATCATTGTCCTGGTGGAAGATCCAGCCATGACCCAGATTAAGCTTCCTGGCTGAGGCAGTGAGGTTTTGATTTTCTTTCTGCTGGTACTTGATGGAGTCTGTGACACCATGTATCTGAATAAACTGTCCAGGGCCTTTGGAAACAGCCCCACATCACAGATCCACCACCATACTTCACATTGGGGAGGAGATACTTTTCCGCAGAGCTATCTTTGTGTCTACACTGTTGCCAAAAATCTCATATTTATACTGAAACAGGAAGTCATAGCTAACCATTTGTGTTCCTAATAATTTTAAAAAATAAAATATGAGTGAGATTATACTTCAGTTAGATTTCACTCATAAGAATTTCAAGGGGTGCCAGCAATTGTGGCATACATGGATTTGATAAAAATCCTGCCTTCCACCCAATGACTGCTGGACAGGCTCCAGCTCCCCCCGCGACCCAGAAGGATAAGCGGCTTAGAAAATGTGTGTGTGTGATCAAGATTTAGGTTTTTTCTTTCAATCATAGAACTTCAAATAAAGGTTAGATTTTTCTTAATATTCTGTATGAAAGATCAAATTAGTAAGCAGTAAAGAATTTTTTATAGTCTATTTTGCTCATGTTTATCAGGAGCGCCGCACTCCAGTAAGAGATACTTGATTCTTATAAATTGTTGCCGATGTTAGCATAAAGCTGAGTGCTGAGTGGTGGGTCTTTCCCGCTGCTGTGTCAATGAAAAGCACTTGTTCGAAGTGCTGTTTCCCATGTCTTCTTCTTCTTCTTCTATGCCGATATCACAATGTACACTATACAAAACCTTTTTTATCTCATTAATTGTATTTTTACCAGAAAAGGACATACTTCATTAATTTACTTAGAAATTAATATAACTAGATTTTCTTCCAAGCAATTTTGGAGCATTTCTGTTAGTTCATTCCTATGAACTGTTCACACACTGTAAAGTCCAGCTGGCATTTTGAAATTTGGTAAACTAAAAAGTACTTATGTAAGTAAATAATAACAAAAACAGTAGATACAGTGGTTTATCCCAACAGGTACTCATGTTTCCTGAAAAAATCCAATGAGGGAAAATAGAGCCCTGGAAACATTATGAACAGTGAACATAAGGCCGAGGGAACGCAGGGACGACCCCAACAGAGCTCCTGTCAGCATTTCACACTGCAAACATGGCTACATTACTCAGCAATGCTAAAGCTAACACACTTTGTAGAGCGATGCCTGCTGGGGAAATCTGCCACTGATTCGCACCGCTGCCCTGAATTTGAACTGGCTAATCTTTGTCCATCAGAAAACTCAGCAGTCCAATAGATCAATGCTAATATAGACCTTGTTAGATTTACAGCCTGTGAATGGATTATTATGTTTGTATGTAGGACGAAAAGAAGGACTGACAGCAGCAAGTCATTTTCATAACAGTGCTGATAGCCCTCAGTGATCAGCCCAAAAGGGTTGGGATTGTTTGCTGCTCTTGCATTGGTTTGAGGAATCCAGGCATTTTCGAAACCTAAACCATGGCTTAACGACAATAATAATAATAATAATAATAATACAATCTTCACACAGAGGTGATTTGACATGGAAGACAAGTTCATACACAGCAGGTTAAAGTCATGTTACTGTGATTACATTTATATTCAGAGGAGAAACTTCCCCCAAATCCATTCAGTGCAAAACAAAAACACAAGTTTAGTCATCTAATACAGATGAAGGTCAGTTCTCTTCTCCAAGATCCAAACACAACTGTGTTCTTTCTTAACTACTGTTGACAAACTGCATAGAACAACCCCTTTCAGTTTAATGAGAAACTGTAAAACACAATTCACTGTAAATGTAGGTATTGTGATATAAACTGAGTCTGTTCTACAGTTTCTCATTAGGCTGAATGAATAACTGACTCTAAATGTAGGTATTGTGATATAAACTGAGTCTGTTCTACAGTTTCTCATTAGGCTGAATGAATAACTGACTCTAAATGTAGGTATTGTGATATAAACTGAGTCTGTTCTACAGTTTGTCATTAGGCTGAATGAATAACCGACTCTAAATGTAGGTATTGTGATATAAACTGAGTCTGTTCTACAGTTTGTCATTAGGCTGAATGAATAACCAACTCTAAATGTAGGTATTGTGATATAAACTGAGTCTGTTCTACAGTTTCTCATTAGGCTGAATGAATAACCGACTCTAAATGTAGGTATTGTGATATAAACTGAGTCTGTTCTACAGTTTCTCATTAGGCTGAATGAATAACTGACTCTAAATGTAGGTATTGTGATATAAACTGGTTGAACATGCTGCTCCAGCTGCCCAACAGCAGCTATGAGAGAACACATTTGTTGGTGGAGCTTGGACAAACACTAACAAACACAAGTTTGGCCCTGAGTGAAAGGTCAGGACAGGTCAGCTTTCCACCAGGCCGTGGTGGACTCCAGGCGACTGACCACATGTCAGTTCTTGGCTCATGATATTTCGTTCATGTTGCATTTCTGTTCCAGGATTAGTGGTCAATCTCACTTTTCAGCCAATTTTCTGACCACCAGCTGATGCTAACTCCCTTTTACTACACACATTTGGTAGTTTCGTCTCTGATTGGCTAGTCTACATGTCAATCAAGCATTCCATCAGTATCTGCAGCTGTATTGGAGAGTCCAGCTGTTCGTCACGGATAGTGTAAATAATAATAACATTGTTGCTATTATTATTGGTAATAATATATTCTAGAATTTTATATCATTCCTGTCCATATCACAAGTCACTGAGGGTCTCCTGAATGAAGCCCCCATGTTTGTGTTATGCTGTCCAGTCTTCTGGAGTGTCTCTTTCTGCACTGCTGGAAGTTTCGCTTTAAAATCTGTGGTCTCCAGGCGGACGGAGGGATGAGAGGAGGAGTGCAGAATGAGAGTATCGCTGTTCCAGCAGCAGGTACCCCACACAAACGCTGGGTCAGGTGACTCCTATAAGAGAGAGAGATACAGAGAGAGACAGAGAAACTGTTAGAGTCCTCTTTCAGCTCCACTGCAGTGTCTTTAGCATTAGCATTAGCTCTATTAATTTCAGTGGATTCGGCTCAGATGGTCCTGGACTCTTCCAGCTTTACTTCATTTTCACTTTCCAGAGGTTTCAGGGCTTAAAGAGAAGCTTAAAATATCAGGCTCAGCTCCAAAAGTCAGTATGTAAATTTACACAGTTGAGCTGAGATTAAATAAGACTTTTCCCTCGTGATTCTCTGGTTTTCCTTTATTGATCCTGTTTCATAATCGCTCAGCTCGGCACTAAACCAGCTTTCAACCATTTTAATATAAAACAACATTTTCAACTTAGAGATCTGAATAAAACAGATTCATGTTTACTTTTTATATCATTAATATTAAAAACTACATTAAAAAAAATGTAAATTTTTTTTTAAAAAACTCATCCGTCACAGAGATTTTGGTCTCTGGTGTTATCAGGACTCTTATTTTACATTTGAACACAGTATTTTCAGCTCTATTAAACTGCTTCTTTGGGTCGAGTCTCATCAGAGAGGAAGTGTCTCGAGGCATGAGGAGGCGAGTCACACTCGCTCACTATATATTATTAATTTATTAATAATTCAGTTTATCAGGCAGCTCAGAACGTCTGTGTGTCACCAGTGTTTTGGGCTTTAATGGCTGAGTAATTAAAATTTTGTCAAAATAAAGCTGAACATCACTTTTATTACTGATTTTAAACTGATTTTAGGTGCACAAGGTCACCTGACCAACAATGAGTCAGCCAGTTTACAAAAACAGAATGTCACTGGAGTCACTGGAGTTACACCATATTCATACAACACCAGTGACTGTAAAACATGTTTAGAATTAAGCTCCTTTTAGCATATATGACAGTAGGAAATGTTGATGGACACACGAAGATTATTTAGTTTGGTGGTTAAAGAAACTGATGTTTTAAAAATCTATCTGCGTGAATTCACACTGCAAATGGAGGATGAGCCATAAACTTAAATGCTGGAAGAAAATACCCATTAAGCAAAGACTGTGGTGCTCAGGACTGTTCATATCATACACTTCTAGGGGATCATAAATGCTGAGCTAATCGAGAGACATTACAATATATGATATTATAATTTTATTTATTTTACTTTATTTTTATCATTTATTTAATCTGAATGGAACAGCTCATAACGCAACAGGTCAGTCCTGCCCTGCAATAAAGAGGCCCTATTGGCTTATCGGTAAAGGTAGCTGCAATGAAAAGCTCCTCGTTGTGCACAGGCGCCGTAACCAGAACAACCTGAAAAACATTTCTGTGCCAGTGGTCTTGCAGTCACAACCCAAGCACACAAAGCTTTACAACACCTGAGCAATCGCAAAAACAGCCCCTCACCACCCGACGCCACAGCGCGAAACCCACTAACGTCACTGAGTCACTCAATAGGGTGACCTTATATCCTCTTTTAGGAGACTCGTTCAGCTGGGGCTTCAGTCCAGTCTATCTCGCCCCCACTGACCAGTTTATCTTAAAACCAAAATATGGTCACCCTGCAGTCAGATATAATAAAAGAACACATAAAGAATACATTATTAATGTGAATGAATGGGTGTGTTTCTATAATAAATACTATAAGATATTTATTCATTTGTTTTTATAACACATTTATTTGTTTCTATAATACATTTCTATAAAAAGGGGTGATTTCCAAAATACTAAGGAATTACTGTATCATAATGGGTTCCAGCACTGTTTAACTAAATTACACTAAAATTCCAGTTCTAGCTATTTACTGGGTAAGTACGAACTCCAGAGTACTGTGTACAAATGATATTAACCAGACAGTTTGACTAAACTGCATGATAGGCGACTTAAACAGTCTTAAATGTATTGTCTACTATCTGGAACCGAAACTGAACATGTGCTGTAAAAGGAAGCAGTGATTCTTCTTGTGGTTTTGGTGGGTTCTCAGCATTCACTTTCCTTTTTTTTTAATTTTACTATATCCTTCTTCTCTGTGGTAGCTAGAACCTCTTGGGCACCCAAAGTTTGAACAATAACAGTAAATAAATAAATAAAAAGGAAAAGTGAGATTAAACAGTAGTTCACAATTCAGTTCAACAACACAAATGATTTTAATTTGAGAATAAACAAAATTAGCCTCATTAATGGTTATTTAATTGTATTATTCTATTATTCTTCTTTATTTACACCATAACAGTTTTTGTGTAATATTTGGTTCTTGGCTCCAAAACACAGCCCCATGTAGAAGTGCAGACCCTGCAGATCCAGACGCTGCACCGCTGTTCTGTGCATCATTTGAGCTAAACTCTACAAACGATTCATGTTTCTGTTATCAGTGATGTTGAATCTGTTTTGAGTCGTTAGCTCGGCTCAGTTTGGGGTTTATACGTCTCTCCTCATTCAGGCAGAAGAGCCTGGTCTGTATGAGTGTCCAGAACCAGTGCTAAGCCAGCCACAGAGTGGACAGACCATCTTGTAAGCCTTTACCTAAACCCACTGAGACTAACAGCACTAATGCTAGTGACCCTCCTCTGCAGTACAGCACTTCCAGGTGGTGGATCTGTCTGTACGAGTGAGGTTCTGTACCTGCGTTAGCATCCGAGTCCACTCAGCGCTCCGATACGGTCCACCTTCATCCCGAAGCAGCCACGCGCCGGGCTCTTCCTGCTCCGCCCCCTCAGCTTCCTCTGTCTGCTCAGGAAGTCCAGGAAGAGGCGGGGAACGGCTCTGTGAGGCTCCGCCCCCACACTGCGTGCAGGTAGGCCACTCCTCTTGGTCTCAGGGGGGGCGGGGCTCTGAGCGGACCCCTCCGTGATGTCCGGCTGGGCCAATAAGAGTGAACTGATCTCCGACCCAAACAGATCATTCAGAATCTGAGACGAAAACATTCACATTAAACCACCGAGAGCAGCTTAATCAAACGGCCACAGACGGAGCCAAATAACACCATCACTATAGAGACGCACGTTTCTGGCGCCATCTGTTGGTCAGATAAAGCAACAGCAGTGCAGGTTCCGCTCTCTCTCTCTCGCACTCTCTCTCACTCTCTCTCGCTCTCTCTCGCTCTCTCTGTCACACTCTCTCTCTCTCTCTCTCGTTCTCTTTCTCTCTCGCTCTCTCGCTCTCTCTCGCTCTCTCGCACTCTCTTGCTCTCTCTCGCTCTCTCTCTCGCACTCTCTCTCTCTCTCTCGTTCTCTTTCTCTCTCTCTCTCGCTCTCTCTCTCGCTCTCTCTCTCGCACTCTCTCTCACTCTCTCTCTCTCGCTCTCTCTCTCGCACTCTCTCTCACTCTCTCTCGCTCTCTCGCTCTCTCTCGCTCTCTCTCGCTCTCTCTCGCACTCTCTCTCTCTCGTTCTCTTTCTCTCTCTCTCTCTCTCGCTCTCTCTCGCTCTCTCTCTCGCTCTCTCTCTCACTCTCTCTCTCTCGCACTCTCTCTCTCGCTCTCTCGCACTCTCTCTCACTCTCTCTCTCTCTCTCTCTCTCTCTCTCGTCTCTGCTCTCTCTCTCTCTCTCTCTCTCTCTCTCTCGTCTCTCTCTCTCTCTCTCGATCCCTCTCTCTCACACACACACACAAATATAGTCAATCAGCCGAGTCGTGTTTGATGACTGAAGTTTACTTCTAGCTTTAGCACTGGAGCTCTGAGGCTAATGTAGCTACCAAGTAATGGAGCATCAATTAGCATGATGCTAACTGCATGCCTTAATCATACATGATGGTAGTGGTGATGCTGGGGATGGTGTTGATGATGGTCATGAAGATGATGGTGATGATGATGCTGGGGATGGTGTTGATGATGGTCATGAAGATGATGGTGATGATGATGCTGGGGATGGTGTTGATGATGGTCATGAAGATGATGGTGATGATGATGCTGGGGATGGTGTTGATGATGGTCATGAAGATGATGGTGATGATGATGCTGGGGATGGTGTTGATGATGGTCATGAAGATGATGGTGATGATGATGCTGGGGATGGTGTTGATGGTGATTTTAATGATGATGGTGATGATTGTAATTGTAATGATGGTGGTAGTGGCGATGATGATGAAGATGATGTTGGTGATTTTAATGATGATGGTGATTTTAATGATGGTGATGATAGTAATGATGGTAATAGTGGTGATGATGAAGATGGTGATGGTGATTTTAATGATGGTGATGATAGTAATGATGGTAATAGTGGTGATGATGAAGATGGTTTTGCTGATTTTAATGATGGTGATGATAGTAATGATGGTAATAGTGGTGATGAAGATGGTTTGGTGATTTTAATGATGGTGATAGTAATGATGGTAATAGTGGTGATGAAGATGGTGTTGCTGATTTTAATGATGGTGATGATAGTAATGATGGTAATAGTGGTGATGGTGATTTTAATGATGATGGTGATGATAGTAATGATGGTAATAGTGGTGATGGTGATTTTAATGATGAGAATGTTAATAGTGGTGATGAAGATGGTGTTGGTGATCTTAATGATGGAGATGGTAATAATGGTGGCGATAGTGATGGTGTCATTGTTGATGGTGATTATGGTACAGATGGTAATGCTACGATGATGATGATGATGATGATGATCATAATGCAGATGGTGATGACAGTGAAGACTGAACACTGACCTGAGAGTCTGGTTTCCGTGGTGATGGTCTGCTGGCCACCTGTGTCGCCATGGTGATGCAGAGGATGAGGATGAGGAGGAGGAGGTGAGAAGATGAAGAAGCCATCTTTGTTTCAGGAAATAAATATTAAGAATGTAAAAAAACAAAAAAGTAAAAGTTCTAAAGTTCAAAAGTTGAGAAGTAAGTAGGTTCTCGAGTGGAGAACCGCTCTAGTTTAGCCTGAGGCTGGGTTCTGTCCTGAGTGCTGCAGGACGCGTCTCTGACCAGAACAAAACCACGGCGACCATTTAAACAGCAGCACAGTGATGATGTCACACATACCAGCGGTCACCCTCGGAAACGCCAGAACTCAGCCAATCACAGCAAGGACACCATTCAGTCTCTTCACATCCTCTCTCTCCCTTCTCTCTCTCTCTCTCTATGTCTCTCTACCTCTCTCTCTCTCCCATTCTCTCTCTCCCTCTCCCTATGTCTCTCTACCTCTGTCATTCTCTCTCTCCCTCTCTCCTTGTCTCTCTACCTCTCACTCTCTCTCTCCCTCTCCCTATGTCTCTCTACCTCTCTCACTCTCTCTCTCCCTCTCCTTATGTCTCTCTCTCTCTCTCTCTCTCTCCCTCTCCCTCTCCCTCTCTCTCTCTCTCTAATAAGGGTCTTTATAGTTCCATAACAGATTCTTCACTTCATTACTGGAACTCATTTCGGTTCTATACAGGACCATTTTAACAGGTTCTCTAACTCTATATATTTACATATTTATATATGTGCTCCATCATGTAGAAGAACATGGTTCTACGTATAAGCGTTTCTTTATTAGGGATCTCCTGAAGAACCCCTGTTAGGGGTGTTGGTCTGTTGTTCTGATGACGTTCTTGCTGTTCTCCCGCTGTTCCGGTGACAGTAGCCGATCTGAGCTGATGTAATGACCGAATGTGTTCACAGCTCCCGGCTCCTTTACGACCGTGTGGAACAACACCACAGCGCCGTGACCTCTGACCCCTCCAGGCCCCACCCCCTATAAACCTCCCCCTGGAAACGGCGAACGCTCAGGAACTATTTCCTCCTGAGAGAGTGACGGAGCCGAGAGACAATAGTTCCACAGGCAGAGAGTGTCTCCAGGGAGACGACCCCAGGGTGGCACAGTTCACCGAGAACGTCTCCGCGGGTCGACAATGACCGACTGCCCGTCTGAGCTGGACGGTGTGAGCTGGACGGTGTGAAGATATCCTGCGCTTTATGTTTCTGTAAATCTGAAAATATTTCTGGATTTTTTTTTGTTTTGGGGGAAATATTCAGTATAATTTCTCTCCAGTTAAATTTAATAAAAAATAATTCAGCACCAGAAGGTCATCCAGTTTAGATGCTTTGTAGATGTTTTATGACATGCAACTAGCACTGCTGACCACCTCCCCACAAAACCCCACAGCAGTGCTCAGACTTCAGCGTGAATTTTCGTGTTCAAATTTCGGTGTGATTTTTTTCTGTCCAAATTTTATTCTGTCATAATATACATAATTTGTAAAATCTTAGTAAACCAGCAGTTCACCCTATTACACAAACAAAAAATCATCACAGTCCAAAGAAAAACATGTATTTCCAGTATAGTAATTTTACAGGAGAAAGAAAAAACTCTAACTTTTAATATAACAAAACAACATCCAACCTAAGAGGTCTGTGTCGTACCTCAAGAAAACTCTATCACTTAACAGACGGCAGTAATTTAATCCCTCACCCTCACAGTTTACCTGCACCTAATGATTACTCTATTTCAGACCTACAGAAAAGACTCCAGACGCTGGGGTCAGTTCGACAGAGAAAAACGGCCTCAGTCTTTATTCCAGCTCAGCACAAGACACTGCCTGAGCATAAGATCTCCGGAAACCAAATACGGACACAACATACAGAGTGTCATGTTTCTATACACCTTTCAGAGATGAGGTAACTTTTGATGTGTCATAACCTGTTTTACCCATCATTACATTCAGTTAAATTCAACCCCATTAAAAGGTCTAGTTGTCTTTTTTGTCTTTTTTTAGTTTGTCTAGTTGTCTAATCATTAAAAGGGCAGCTGCATCTCTGGTACCCAACGCCTCCCTTAGTGCTTATCAGACACCTGTTTATACACTGGCCTCCTAGTGGTTGAAGGTTCAAAGGGTTCACTTGAAGCCTCTGCTTAGAGTTTTCTGGAAGTTTCTGCACAGAGCTGGTACTTTCCAAACTCACTTATCTGAATGGGGTCATTCTACAGAAACGTCCACTTATTTATCCATCCTTGGGGGTCATTGGTGTTACACATAAGAAAGGAAACACCAGCTACCTACTACAGAGCATCAAACCACATGTTGTCAGTCATGGACTATCCACTAAAATATGGAATTTAATCCATTTGTGTTCTATTTTTTCAGTTACCTCAGAATAAAGTTGGTCACACCAGTGACTTCAGCTAAAAGCTTCATATGAAATCATGAGCTAAATGAGAAAATCTCTGATAACTGAAAGACTCAGTGGACTCACCATGAGCTTTTCTTCATAGATCCTCAGAAAACAGGGAGAAGAAGTCAAGTGATGTCATCAGTGTGACTTTTATTTTATTTTATTAGTGTGAGATTTTTGTTACGCAGTAACACCAGTGACACGACTCCTGGGGACAACAACTCTTATTATATATTTTATAATATTTATTAGCCATTTGTTTTCTTTATGTCATTTAAATCATATCTTCCATAGTCATGTTTAGATTATTGTAGCTAAAATTGCAGAAAAACAAGTGTTTTTTACTTCAAAATATGTCCTCAGCCTTCACACACGACTGTGAGGAAGAGCTCTTCTGTGGTGATTGGAATTCTATATGATTGATTTAAAAACCAATATTGCTAAATTGAGGCTAAAGAAGGTGTAACTGTTAAAATATTATTGCTTTGTTTTAAAATAGAAATAAATTGTAACCCTAACATGTTTTTAAATGTGGTATATCTTTAAACACTAGGGACACAAAAACGACTCATGGTACTTCTTACAAAGTTGCGAGTGATTTACACACCAAACATTTTCTGTGTGCCTCTTATTAATGATGTTCTCTTTAATCATCGTATTTGATTACTATGTTCATTTTATTCCCTCGGCTGCCTGAACAGCTGGATGTTTTCAAATGTGTGAAAAAGTAAACGAAAACATTGTTTTATTACAGACAGGTTTCTGTTTACAAACATTACTGTGTTCACGGCTGTAATCGGTGTGGATTTCACATTGTTTGTAAAGTCTTGTTGACTCAATAATAAACGGCCATTTCTGAGTTTGATCTGAATCACTTCACTGAGGATTTATTTTGCTTTGCTTTGTTGCCAGATTTGGGTTCTGGCCAAATTGGGTTGGATTTGGAGAGGAACAGTCCTTTGGCGGGAGGTGAATATTTGGGATGGTTTGTTATTATTTTGGTGGAATTTAAAAATAAATATATAATTAATAAACTGTATTACTTAATAACACAGCTAAAACGTGAACAGGCCTCACTTCCCCTCGTCCAATCAGTTATAAGGACTTTGATTGACAAACATTTTACTCATTCCTGTTGAGAGGAGGCCGCCAGTCAACAGTGATTAACGCACCAGGTTACTGACTGATGTAATGGATGTGTTTTGGGGGCAAACACGGTTTGTCCAGTTCACACAGCTTCACTGGCTCTACAGTCCAGCTGTTGTTCTATAATACACAACACAGTGAAACACTAATGCTCTGAAAACACTGATGAGTTTGTATGAGGAACTGAGATAAAACACAGCCACATCAAATACAACTTAAACATGAAACATGAAAAGATTCCTGTTCATATCACAATAAACTCATTACTTTAACAGATTGAGCGCCATCTAGGGGCAACTGCATCACCTGTCTGCTAATATTCGAAGGTGAGACACCAGCAGGTAATATAATATAATACGCTGTATTATTTCATAAGATGGTTAAAATGATTCTACAGTGTTTCTGTACTTTTGGCTGGCTCTTTGTTTTCTTGCTGGAAAATATAGAAGCAATCTGGCAACCCTGTATGTGATTGTGAATAACAGTGTTCAGGTGTAAACACACACCTGCAGCAGCAAAACACCTGAGAGGGAAAACAGGACGGAGGGATGAAGAGAGATAAACCATGATTAATGACCGAGCGCCCTTAAAGACGTCAGCAGAGAGAGAGAGAGAGAGACAGAGAGAGAGATACAGAGAGAGAGAGAGAGAGAGAGAGAGAGAGAGAGAGTTAAGAACAGTCCTCAGTCCCCACACAGTGAGATGTTAATGTGAAGGGATGATGGATGGAGGGATGAGTGCATCACCTTTCACCCTCCATTCAGCCTCTCTGACGCACCAGACGGACCCCCACACAGCCAGACCTCCCCCTCACCACAGCTATACACACAACTATAGCACAACACTGTATAACACACTAACCCAACACTACACAACGCATTAATGCTACATGCTAATGCTACAAAACTACTTAATTACTGCTACTTTTTGCAGTTAACTACACATTTCTGTAGCTAATATCTGAAGCCGCTACAGTTGTATGAAATGTAGCTAACCGCTGTAGCGCGTATGAATTATTGTGTAGCTATAGTGATCATTTTCGCTACAATTTCGCTACAGACTTCAGTCAATCTGCGCCAAATCTGAACCTCAGAGTGCAGCCAGTAACTGGGCTGGTGGTGACTGTGCAGTAATGACTGAGCCACGGACAGTTCGAGTGAACGTTCATGCGCTGGTCACCCCTTACTAGTAGGCTTAGCTCAGTGGTCACAACCGAAATGTTAAGAAGAGCCATTTTGTCATTTCAACAAAAATGAAACCACCATGGAGCCACAATGTTTTACCATCATGGCTGTAAATAAGTCTCAGTATGTGCTGAAGTTCTAACACAGTCTAAAAATATAAACTAAAACTCAGACTTACTCTGCTCTGCTTTAAGCTTTAGATCAGCTGTAGCCGCTTTTCTCACATCTCAGTCAGGAAACTTTTCTTGTAAAATGTCTCAACTTTTTACGAGGCTGAAGTTGCTTCTCGTTCACCAGCTTCTTGTTTGGATTTTCCCATTCAACCTTTAATGGTGCCTGAGGTGC